ATGAAAGAAAAGAAATAGAAAAAAGAATATGGGATGAAGAGGGAATTCAAAGATACAGAAGTTGACTAGAGAAAAAGAAATTCGAAGTAAAAGAAGATATAGAAGCTATGATAGCGGAACTGAGCAACCTAATTGTAGAAGCTACGGAAAAAAGAATGATATACATATGGCAAGGGAGGAATAATGGATGGAACGGAGAATGTAGTGAGTTGAAGAGAAAAGCAAGAGAAAAATTAAGAAAATGGAAGAATAACAAGGGAAGGAAAGAAGAGTACCTAAAAACAAGAGAGAATTATAGGAGAAAGTGGGAAGAAAGAAAAAGAGAAAAACGAGAAGAAGAAGAGAAGACAATAAAGTCCCTGAAAACAGAAGAAGAAGTATGGAGATATATAAACAAGGACCGGAGAAGGAAGACTGAAGTCAGTAGGAAAATCAAAATACATGAATGGAAAAGACACTTTATGGAATTAATGGTAGGTTGTGAGGAAAAATGCTGCAAAATAAAGGAATCACAACGACGGAGAAAATGTGGAGAGGTTCGGAAATAACAGAAGATAAAATAGGAAGACTGATTGAACGACCGAAAAGAGGAAAGACACCAGGAGGGGATGGAATCCAGAACGAAGTGTGGATGTTCGGGACAGAAGGAGGGAACTGGTAGATGGAGTTTGGAAGGGAAAAGGGTTTCCTCGGCAATGGAGAGAAGGTATAATAATCCCAGACGAACATATAAATTTCAGATGCCAAAGAAAAAGACGATCACATTTTATCGGTACCGATATTTTATCGTTATAGAAACAAAATCCCACCCCAGAACTTGGTAACTAATGCCAAGAATACTCTTAGACTTAATCCTTTGTTCTAAGGATTTGAAAGATAGTGTAATACACTCCAGTTCTCCAGTAGTTGATGATGGTCACCATCCTGCGCTATCTATCATTCTAGAAGTTTCTGTAGCTAATTTGAAACAGTAGAATTTCAACTTTTTGAGAATTAATACGAAATAAAATTTTCGTAAAGGAAATTATATAGAGCTCTACAGATACCTGAAAACACATACTGGTCCCAACTACTAGTTATTAAAGATGTCATTGTTGCTTGTCACTATTTCTATTCCATTCTTTATGAGCTTTTAGATGGTTTCATTCCCAAGACGTCAATTAATACAACGATATATTATCCTGTTTGGTAAACACCATCTATCATTGGCCATATTAAACGTAAGCATCAAGAGTTATAAAAACAACAAATTTGACGGAGTATTATCACAAGTTAATGAATCTTAGGAGACTCATTACGAAAGAAATCAAAGTGTCATATATCAACTTTAAGAATCGGCGGAACCGAACATCAAGCAAGATCCAAAAAATTTGGGGGCATATATTAATGAAAAGAAAAATGTTTCGAGTATCCCACTAACTGATCCACAAGCAAAGTGTCAATCATTTCGCGACTCATTTCAGTAACGTCTTTAGTAGTGAATAATATCTGTGATAGTTCTCCAGTCTGCGATAGTGAAAGTGATATTGATACCTGTGACATTTTGAATGCCGTCAAAAAAGTCAATTCAAATTTTGCTATGGGTCCTTGCTTTCCTTGTAAAAGACTGTATTTCTTGTTTATGTGAACCCCTTTACTATTTGTTTCATTTAATTATTGCTGAAGCTACATACCCTAATATCTGGAAATCTACTAAAGCTATCCTGGTCTTCAAATCCGATGTACGTAATAACATCGAGAATTATAGGTCCATTGCAATAGTTTCAAATTTTAGTACGATCTTTGAAATAATTGTAGTTAATAATTTATATCGTCACACGTATCTAATCAACTTGGTTCTAGTCAACATAGGACAACAAATCCGATTCTCCTAAAATTAAAAAAACAAGTTGATATTATTTACACAGATTTATCTAAAGCTTTCGTTGTGGTTAATCACTTGATTTTGCTTGATAAGCTAAGCAAATTTGGCTTGTGTAGCAATTTAATAAAGTGATTTCAATCCTTTTTGTGTAATCGCATTTAGTGTGTTGAGTATCATGGTTTTCGCTCTAAAACTTATGTAGGTATCTACGAATGGTGTTACGCAATGGTCAAAACTTGGACCTATTTTATTTAATATATACTTCAATGACGCACTTCTAGAATTTAAGTGTCCCATCTTTATGTACGCTGGTGACCTGAAGGTGGCTAAAACTATTACCACACTCGAAGATTTTTACTCGCTTCAAAATGATTTTAATAATTTTATTATATGGTGTTACAATAATAAACAAAATATTAATATAACCAAATGTGAAGTAATAACGTTTTCTAAATCACCTGATACTACACAACATAAGTATGTATTAAACGATACAGAAATAGATAGAGTTTTCCAAATCAAAGACCTTGGTGGTGTGGTTGATTTAGAATTGTCATTTCAACATATAATATATATAATAAATTACCATTGTTATTATTATTAATATTATTATAACACAAAATATGGTACCAAGATTTCAGAAGCTACGAGTATTTTTCCCTGCTGTTATTTATCGTGAAAATAAAAGAAATCTGGTGTAAGGTGATTTAGAAAGAACTTCTGTTACCCCTGAAGTATAGTCAAACAATTGACTGTACTTCAGGAGTGAGTGAAGTTCTGTGTAAGTAACTTCAGATATTTTTTTTATTCAAATTATATAAATAAATTCTATCGGAATGTACAAAAGATGTAAATAAAACAATCATTCGTTAAACCTTGACCTACGTCTTATCGTAAAACTTAGAATTTTATTAGACTTTATCTATTACGTTATTAACATGATATTAACGCTTTAGCGTAGTGACTAGAGTAACAATTAAATCATAAAACTTTTTCATATTTTTTTAAACCGTATGTGACACAACGGGTGTACATGATAGAATATGTTTGGAGCAGGCCTTGAAATTATTATTTGTCGTTTATTTACAACAGGGCAATTATTTTCGGAAACTAAGTAGGTAACCGAATATACGTTACTTAGGTACAGTCGGATTGACAGATAATTAAAACATTACAATATGTTTTCTAACCTAACATTTTTTTGTTGTTAAATTGTCATTTTCAATAATCGTCATTTTTGACGTCACTCATTCTACACTCTAATAAAAAGCCGTAAACAATTGAATTTTCACAGTCTACTTCAAACATATTTTTAAATGTACCGTATTGTATTTTCGGGGAAATTTCAAACATTTGCACCTGGATTTAATTAGATATATTTATTGCAGATCATCATTAAAATTCGAATTGAAGAAATAAATCACCTGAATGTTTTTGAGTAAAATAATATTACAATAGTCCCAAGAGAAATCGTATTTTATCAATGATTTTAGAGCTAAGGTAAGATGAAAAAACGAATTAAAATACTATATTTTAGGGTCCGAAAAGAGATAGTAACGGATGGTCAAAAAATTTTCAGAGTACTGATTGTCATGGATATATTTTTCTGTTATTCTATTCATACTGGCACTGTTTAAAATAAGGCAGACGTTTATGATTTTAATCAGCTACGAAAAATTGTTCCATCTAAGGATTAAAGTATTAATCAGTATTTACTTTAGTAGATTTTCAATCTATAAATAAATTTAACTGAAGCCGCAAAATTGCTGCGCATTTTGGAGGAGCTTAACTTTACAAACCTTGCTTTCTTGCTCTATTTTACTTGTTACTTTATTACATGTCGCAGCTCATCTTAACAGCTTTAATCTAATAATATAATACGTTTCTTAGACGCAATGTTATAATAACGTGTCATCTACAACGACATAAATTGAATTTACTTCACAAATTAGAGCACTTACGGGCATGTAATTCTCACTTTATGGCTGCAATAACAATGATTCAAGCGGATAAACAAATAGGAAAACCAGGAACTTCACTCACCAAATTATTGATTATTATTCAGCAGCAGTAAGTTGAAAGTCAGTGAACAAATCACAAATCTGTAAAACTCACAAAGTTTACACATCGTGTTTATTTTGCCAATGTTGATGTATTTAGAAAGACGTTGAAAAAGCATGACTCAACTCCTCTTTATATTCCATGTTTCCATACAGTTCATTTATTTTCGTCAAATGACGTTCTACTCAATCAGACCATGGTAATTCATGAAAGATAAATCCACAATTCTTATTTAATCTATTTTGTGAATAATGAATGAATAATGAGGTATAATGCGTTTGCAGGATTTGTGGTGGAACGCAGTATAGTTGGTTCTAATTACAGACATTTATTATTGGTTACTGGTAAACCACTACATAATGCGTTACATTATTGATAAACTACAATCTAGTACATATCAGAAAAATAATCGCTAATGGTTTGTTTATATTGATAAATCAGTTACGTAAATGAAACTTCCTTGATGAGTATTGTATCTCAAATTAACTCATAATCATTCTGACAACGCACAAAATCGGTAAAAACGATGAGATGCGATTCTGATCGACTATTGTATTGTTGATATAATAAAGCTTTAAGTATTACTATGTCACACTTTTAAAAGATTTTGTTGTCTTGAGAGATTTAAAGGAATGAGTGGACGTGGTGTTTTAGCTCGAGTTTCCTATTTATCATGCAAGGAGAAACGTTACTTTGGCAATGACAGAATAGTCCCCAAAGACGATAAATCAACTTTTCAGTTACTAGATCCAACTAGGTTACATTTGAGGCAATGTTATCGCGAAGTCTTCTCTCTAAAGTAAAACGCTCTTTTAAAGCATAATTTAGTAGTTAAACAGCTTTATCTCGAAGTAAATTAATGAGGGATGAGAGCGTAATGCTGGGTAATTACACTTTCTAAACAATCTCGTTCTAATAAAATCCATAAGATTATACAGCAATTTTCTCATAAGCATAGCATGGCGTCCGTTTTCTAGAGTGAACATTAACTTCATTTTCACAGGTTTTTTAACCTCAATAATAATATACAATAATATAGTATAAACGTAAATAATAAAAAAAAAAACAAAAATAAAAAAGATATACTTTATTTGTATTTTACAAATTCTTGATTATCTGTTAAGTTATTTAGGTATCGTTCCATTAGTGATGGTAAATTTTACAGTTTGATGTAATCAAGCCACACTCCTCCCTCTGGACTTAGTGTAAAAGACGTCGGGGTTAATTTTAGAGGTACCTGCGTCTTCGAATTGATCGAAAATTTATAGTTTTTCAACAGAACACTGAGACCAACTTTTGTTTGTAACATGCCGAATCTGAGACCTAAAAATTTTTTTTTAATTTATAAATTCCATCACCTGTATTATCTTTGTTATACCTATACAAATACGAGGACCTTCACCAAACGGTAGGAAAGTACAGGGATGCCGCTTCTTCTTATTTTCCTCCGAAAATCTTTCTGGATCAAACTTTTCGGGGTTTGGGTAATACTCTGGATCATGTTGGATGCCCAGGACTGGAATCAATACCGTAGTCCCCTTTTCTATAACACGGTTTGTTCCAGGAACTGTGTAATTTTTATTACAAACACGATTTAAATTTGGAAGCGGAGGATATTTTCTTAATGTTTCTGCAACATAAAATACGTTTAGGAAACCTGTATTTGACGAAAAAGAGATTTACCATTAATAACTTGTTCCATGTAATGCATCTCCATAGCGGCATCGTATGTCAATTTATTATTATGTTTTTCAAGTACTTCTTCAACTTCTTTTCGCAATTTTTCTTGAATGTCAGGATTCGATGCCAGTTCAAAAAGACAAAAAGTCATAGTAGTCGACGATGTTTCATATCCAGCTAGGAAAAATACGAACGACTGAGCTGCAATTTCATTCACCGTTAAATTAACTTCTTGTTTCTTGTCACCTTTTTCACCCAGTACACTGTTATCATCAACCAGTTTTCCCCTGTTTTTGAGTTGCAACAATAAGTGCATGAAGTCTTTTCGATAAATATTATTCTCTTCACGATATTTCACCGTGTCTTTAACTACTTTCATGAAAAATTTTGACAATTTTGGTTTAACAATCCTAATTTTCAGTTTCTTTGCTAGTCCTGGAGCTACAAAAAGCATGAAGCCGGTCAAATTCTCCCAAAAAGTATCCACAAAAAATATTTTGAAGTATCGGTTGAATTCATTGTCTGGATTTTTCAGTGAATTGCAATCAATTCCGAAGGCACAGTTTCCAATGATATCAGTGGTGAACCGAACTAACATATCTTTGATGTCGACGGCTTGCTTGCCTGCAGTTTTGTCCATTTCTATTTCCAACTGGTTACCGCAAGTAACCAAAGTATCGAACATCATTTTCATCTTTCCAGACGTAAACGTTGGAGTTAATTTTGCTCTAAGGTTCCTCCATTTGGTACCCTCCAACGAGAATAAGTGAGCACTTAGAGGATCATTCTTTTCATCGTTGATGATTCCTCGGTCTACGAAATGACCGAAGTCGTTTTGTAGAATGCCTTTAATGATGTCTAAGTTTATGGGTATATATGCTGGCATGTAGAGCATATAGAGTCCTCCGTGCATTTCATGGCGGTTTTTAAAATATTTATAGTATTTTGAAACAAAATCGCCAACTGATTCGGATTGGGTGAAGAGTCCCTTACTATGTCCAAATGGAAAACCAGCAGGCGGCGTTGGTATGCCTTTACGTTGCCAGTAGGTGTGGGAATATTTTACCCATGTTAGAAAAACTGCTATTATTGCAGTCAACAGACCTAAGAAGTCTAGTAACCAATTTCCGGTTAATACACCCATCTGAAACACTACACTATAACGTTCACGTTGTATCTGTACACCAGGTACAGTTCGTCTAAAAATACTGTTTTATGTTATCGTGTTATCTAATCAAACTGGAGGCTTGCGTAATAAGTGAAATTTTTGATAAAAATTCAGTATTTTCTATAATCCCGTTTCATGATCGTTGATCAATAGTCACTATTTATTTTATTTTTGGACAAACAATCTAAATTATTGCGTCATTTCTTGTTTTAACCCTTAAGAAACACTTTTATGCTCAAAACTGAACTTAATTTGGTTCCTTTTAATAACTTACATTGCTTTCAATTACACTGGTCTGTCTTCCTTGGTCTTAAATATTTTCTCTTGATAATGGACGCAATACAGTTGGTTTACTCCTTTGATGAATAATGTCAATTTAAAGCAAATTCGTCATAGCTTCTGATCTTGTATTGGACAAATTAAATAATGTTAAAATAAAACTGAGTCCAAGTGCAGATGGAATTCCATCTTATTTCCTTAAATAGTGTAGTTCTAGTATAGTTTGGGCTTTAAGTCTTCTTTATAAAAATTCGCGTAATACTAGCACTTGTTTATAACATTTTGGATTCTATTATTTCTCAATGTATAATGGAAGAATACAAATATCTGCTTTCACTGCATCAGTACGGTTTTTTCCAGGACGAAGCACTGTTACGAACCTTGGTGTATTTACCAACTACATTGTCAATTCGTTTATAAAATGGAAATCAAGTTGATGCGGTATGGATTTATGGCATAAATGGGCAATTGTTTCACTGGATTACATCGTATTTATCAGAGTGGAGTCAAATGGTACAGTTAAATCATTGTTTGCCCAAATCTTTCCTTGCATTTTCTGGCGTACCCCAAGGTAGTCCCCTTAGTCCTACCTTATTTTCTCTTTTTATTATTAATGATCTTACATATCAATTATCATTTTGAAAGTATGTATTTATTATTTGCAGACGATGTAGAGGTCTTTCAATCAATACAATTTTCCATTGATGCCTTTTAACGTGAAGATCTTCTTTCTTTAAGCAAAAATCTTCTTTCATTAGGCGAAAATTTTGTTTCAATTTGTCTACAAAGACTATTATTTAATCAAGTTGGTTAACGATCTCAGCTAAAAAAGATCCCTTCTTACTATTTATACAAGAGCAGAGTCTACACTGCTCAAACGGCATCAAGTACTGCCCATTTCTAGTTGGAATTTAAATGTGGATTGCCCAAAAGAACAAGCAAAGGCTTTAATTGATATTTTTAAAGCCCATATTGAATTTAAATATATCGAATAATCCAAATGAGAGTGCAGAAAAATATGGAACTACAATACGAGGGAGTACAAAGATTTCAATCTAAAGTCTACCTTGTATTTTAGTTACCAGAAACTTAGTGTTTGTTTTTTAGATTTTGCTAATAATTATGAAAATAGGACGGAAGAAAATAAATAAATTTTCATATAAAAATGTACATGTAACAAACAGGATTTTCAGAATCCGCAAACACCTTTGACAAGATTTCCTTAGCAGGCAGGAGTTCCTGTTGGAACATGAAATTGAACAATGGATATTGACGAGCGGATTACAGAACATTTTTGAAATTAAAAAGGGGGTGAACATGTGCCTTGAACAAAATAGTAAACAATTTGAACATTTACTGTAATGTTTAATAGCAATAAATTTGTTTCTTTTTATTCTAACGAATTAGTTTTAATTTTTAATAAGACATGAAGCGTTTAGGCAACCAGTTAAACAGATGCGTGTGGTCTTTGTCATGCGTCCTTGAGCATTTGTTAAAGTTCAAAACTAAGAGGCGGCACCTTTTCATGACCTACTTCGATCATTTATAGAAACCCTCTATTACTTTATATTAATATATTATTTCTCCAGAGTCACTAAATTTTAGTCATATACACTCTCCACTCTTAGACCCAATAGTTAAAATTTTGTATTTAACAGCTTTATGTATGTGTGAAGAGTTGTGGTTCAAATAAAACTTGTAACTTCAAAGAAATCTTTAACTTTTTTTAACATAACATCCTTCATATTTTCACAAAAGTAGATTCTTTATTACAGAAGCAGAAAACTGACACACACAAAACTGTTTTGAAGTAAAAAATGTTCATATTAAAAGTTCTCAGTTCCACGATACGTAAAGATAGAGGTCTGGAATTTTGTACAAAACTTTTAGATTGATTTGATTGTCCCGACAAACGTATAAAAATTGAAAAGTGCTTAATTTATGTATACAAAGCCATCAAATTTACAAATTGTCTGTTCTTCAACTGGTCACTATTAAGTTTTGCTTTGATACAAAATTTATTAAGGTTTATCATAGTACATAGTTTATTTTGTAATTATAGTTATATAAACTCCAAAAAAATCTGTTATTACGAAAAAATTTAGTTAGAGAAAAGTTATTTTCATATGAAACATTTGAGAAAACTGATATGTTGTAAATTTAATCATTTGTATCAACAAGTATAAACCTTTTTCAACTTTTGACATACATATATGTTAATCTGAAGTGACTAACATCTACCCTACCTACCTCCAAATAATGTGTATGTCAATTTTTACATATGATTACTGTTTACTTTCTCAGCGTAAGTTAATAATCAGATCCGTTCTGCAAACGCTTAATTGTTTTTTGGACATACCACGACTTCTAGAGTATGAAAAATAAGTCCCTCGTTTCCGTCAGTCTAGGATGTACTATCTCTCCGGCGTATGTCATCTGTGATCTGTTGGCGATTTTATTAGTAAACAGATAATCTCAGAAATTACTGGACTGATTGTCGTGAAATTGTATATGTCTGTTTTTGTGGTATATTTTCCACCCTAAACGTCCAGATTTTTGAAAATAAATTGAACATCTTCGGTGTGTACATGTGAATTCGTACGTGTGTTGCTGTTCGGGTTTCGGTTTTACCTACCAACCGCAACCCTTGTCAACAAGCGTCCCCAACTTTCTCTTTTACCTGCAATGTATCGCTTCCGATTTTAACAACTTTGTACATAGACTCCGAACCGTTAACAACAAGTAAATACAGTGTTACACAGCACATGTTTGTGTTTCATTTATATCAATCTTTTTCGGTACGTATGTATGAATAATAATCATACATCCAACATTGGTCCTTCGAGCCGGATTTCTCCACATGTGTGATCCAGTGCTGTGAATTCAACAATAAAACGCGGTGGTGCCATTTTTCGACGCCTGTATCGGGAGACGTGATCTACCGGCCATCGGAGTTCCCTACCGGACAGGAGAGCAGCGAATCCAGCCCATCCAGTCGTTTCATCCAAGGTTCCAAGTGACCTTATCACGTTTTTGGTAATTTTCGACGCCTGTATCGGGAGACGTGACCTACCGGCCATCGGAGTTCCCTACCGAGCAGGAGAGCAGCGAATTCAGCCCATCCAGTCAATTCACCCAGGCTCCAGGTGATCTTATTACGGTTTTGGCAATTTTCGACGCCTGCATCGGGAGACGGGATCCAGCCATTGGAAATTCCCAACCGGACAGGAGAGCAGCGAATCAGTCTAGCCGTCCCAGGTGCCATAGGGCCTTATTGCGGTGAGTGGGTTCCAACTATTCCTTTTCTTTATCTATTTCCGGTCAAGCACGCATTCGACCGTAATTGTAAGTCATTTTATTTAAATTTCATTGGCAAGTACCATTTACCTTGCCCGAACTGTACCAGTTTTACGTATCTCAACTAAGCGGTTTTTCAAATGGTTATGACGCGTTCGCAAACTTTCGATGCTCCACACATGGCAGGCGCGGAAGGTGACGACAATGCCGAAACATTTTCGGACTCAAATCCTACACCAGAGGATGCAGGAAATTTACAAATTTTATTCTTAAAAAGAAATCGCATTCACGACGAAATATCGCGTTTCAAGTTGTGGTTTGAAACAAACAATCTAAGTACATCCGCTTCTCGACTAAGAGTAAGATTGCGCGATTTTGTACGTATTAAGGCTCAGTTTGACAAAATCCATTCTCAGATTGAAGCTCTTGATGACGCCACCCCCGATTTAGAACAAGCTACCACAAGACTTTATTTTGAAAACGCGTATTACGATTTATGTGCAGATGTCGAAGATGCTATTGAACAAAAACGCGTTAACACATCTTCACCTGCACCGCAAGGTAACGCACCTACGAGCACACCGTCACCATCGGTGCAGTTGCTCCCGAATGTTATTAAACCGTTTAGCGGAATTTATACTGAATGGCTACCTTTTTATAATACATTTAAAACACAAAAGGTGTCTACATTTACAGCGGCAGTAAATCGCAATAGTACACAATCCACTTGTTATTTTTGTAAAAAATCTCATTTAATTTACAATTGTATTACCTTTTCAAAACTCAGTGTTTCGGAAAGAAGGTCTCAGGTAGATAGGTTGAAATTATGTCAAAATTGTCTCAAACCATCGCATACGTCCGATAGCTGTAAATCTATGTCATGTAAATTATGCCAATTGAAACATAATACACTTTTACATAGTGACCAACCCTCCCATTCAAACGAAAACCAGCCTAGTACCAGTGGAGTTTATTGCTCATCCGCCCTTTTTCCACAACCCGTTTTGTCTACAGCAATAATTCTAATAAAGGATTGTAAAAACAAATTTCAAAAATTCCGGGCTTTGTTAGACGTGGGTTCAGAATCGCATTTTATTACTGAAGCCGCCACTAACAAATTGGGTTTAAGTACAGAAAATGCAAATGTGGTCGTAGCAGGTATTCAATGTTCAAATACAACCGCTAGACAAAAGGTTCAGGTACAGATCGAGTCGTTGCATTACTCATTTACAACAGCTTTAAATTGTCTGGTAATCCCAAAAATTTCGAAGAACATACCTGTCCGTACCTTTTCTAAAGATGAGCTGGACATACCTGAAGCGGTAAAACTTGCCGATCCTAATTTCAATTTGTCACAGCCAATCGATCTGTTAATCGGAGCTGGATTATTTAGGCAACTGTTAGGTGTAGGTCAAATTCAAACGATAGGACATGGCTTAATATTACAAAAAAC